ACCGTTCCTTCCTGAGCTGCAATATGTAAGATATAATGTCAGTTTGTCGACGAAAAGACGCCACTTACCAGCCTGGCGAAAGAGATCTTTCAGATCTTGCCAACCAACGTTGAATGGGAGCTAGGGAGTCCATGTCAATAGATCGTTCCAAGAGCAGACATCAAAAGGAAAAGAGTAAACAGACATTGGAGATGTAGAGCTGTCGGCCGCCGCCACCGCCGCCACCACCTCCGCCACCACCAGCGGCCATACCACCACCATAAGGACCACCGCCATATCCGAAGCCACCTCGCCCGCCTTCAAAGCCGCCGCGAGCGGAAGGGCCGGTGAAACGGGGCTCGGTTTCGCGATCCTATTCGAAAAACGAACGTAGTCAGCAAGATTGGGAGATGCGAGCCTTTTTTTCGCGTCGATGGAATGGTTGCGCACCTCTCGAACGTAAACGAGACGGCCCATGAGGCTTTGGTTGCTGAGTGTTTGGATAGCCTGTTGGGCTTGTTCCCTATTTGCGTATTCCACAATCCTAGATTCAGTCAGAAAAGAGGTCCCGCGCATACAAAAAGGGCAAAAGTAGCAAGCACTTACCCGCATCCCTACATTAACCCGTGGACCAGGTCCAACCCGTCAATCCAACGTCCAACAAAAATAACCAAAAAGGAAGACCAGTAGAACCAGCCGCATCACACAATGGCGCCCACCTTCGACATTCCATTCGGAAGAGTCAAGACATCAGCAAAGAGAACTTCTCCAGCTAATTTCGGCCGTCAGTAAACAGCTGTGAATCTCACGAAAGACCTTGGAACTCACCTTGTCTCATGAAATCTTTGAGATGGTGCCATTTGACGTCGTAAGCCAAATTGCCCACATAGACACGACGGTCTTGTTGAGAAGACTCGCGTACTGATTGCATCATTTGTTCTTTTGCCGCCGCTCGGTCTTCGAACGTCCTAGAGGGTTGTCGACCTCCACCGGCGTAGCCTGACCCTCCTGAGTATCCTCCGGTTGGGTTGGGTGCACCGCTCATGGGACTTCTTGAACGGCGCTCACTTCGGCGGTAGTCGTCGCCTCGACTGCGAGAGCGGCTTCGAGGGGAGTAGGAACGGCGTGTGCGCCGTGGACTGCGCGATCGGCGACGGGGAGAACGAGAACGATCTGATCGATCCCTCTGAAAACGGTCAGAATATTGGGTAGCAATGGTGATCATAGTATGGGAGCGGAGAGAGGTCGAATTTAAAGGATCGTGCAGGTGAGTCCTGGGCCGAGTGACACGTGCAAGTGAAGGTCAAGTCACGCTATTGTTGTCTCAAACAGAAGTGACAGTGAATCTGTTCCGTTTGATTCGTGTGTCTGCCACAAAGTTCATAAGGCAGAAGTGGACCCAGGCTGATTGGGAATGGTCGTGGTGAAGCCGGAATCAACTTCACCTCCAATCCTGCTCGTCGCAACCTCGACTTGTGCGCGGGGACAAGAAAATCGGTTCACTTACTAAAACTCACCACGTTAGCCAACAGACACTCGGGGATGGGGAGAGGAAGAAAGGGAAAAGAGACGGTGAAGATGATGTTGGGCAGAGACAGAGTTGGTGCAATGTCGATAGGACAAGCACATGGGCGGGAGGACAGGGTGATGATCGGAGAGACCAGTGCCGGAATGGCTAGCTTGGGCCACCGAAAATGAGAAGGAAAAGAGGGAGGGAGGGAGGGGACAGACCCATGATAATCGATTGCCGAGAGCTCGTACGGCGAGTTTTGACTGTTGACTTCTACGAGATCAGGATCGCATGCACGAAAATGCAGGAAGGGAGGGGGTAGGAGAGAGCGCAGCTAACAAGGTTTCCTGAGTAGTACAAGGGCTGTCTGGAGCTGTACGCAAAACGCAGAGAGCTCGATTCGTCCTGGGTGGAGCGGCTTTCTCAGGGCCTCAGAATGGTCGGAGAGAGGAGGAGGGGGGGACAAGAGACAGGATTTCCTCTGACACGGCGCAACACAATGCAGAGCAAATCTGACAGAGCCTCAAGCGGCGCGCCTTTAGACCGAATCTCCTGCGGTACGAGTTCGAGGTTGCTCGTCTGGCCGGATAAAATTTTCTCTTGACAGAACAAACTTGGATCAAGGCAGCGATGGCCAGTCGGGGCGGGCGGGGCAAACGAGGACAACGAGAGAGTGGAGTCTGCGACTTGTTGCCGTGCTTGACGCTGTGATCAGGAGGTGATTGCAATTGGGCGACGATTTGGGCGAGGAGAAGGGGTAGTCCTGTTGGATTGTTGCCTTGTTTTGCGACGTGATGCTGTAATGGGAACCCTACGGCCACACCACCGATTCAGTCAGCACTTTTATCCACCATACTTTGTTTCTCTCATGCGCTTCCTCTCCCATCACATTGTGTATTGCTCAAGGACTCTTTCGATTCAATGGTAGCAACCACCGACCAGGACGACTGCGGGTAGCACTCAAAAGTCCTTCCCTTCCTCCTCCTTCTCGTTCCCCATTGACAGGCAGGGGTGTTGGACCAACCAGAACACGTACACAATGGACCCAATGGGCTTGTGTCAGAGGCGTCAAGACAGGGTCCGTTCGGAATCGCGGTGCCCAATGGGGACAACCAAGTAGCAGAGTGGCAGTCGATCGAGTAAGCCGGCAAGGCAGCGTTCTGGGGCCTGATGGCAGAGGGACAGGTGCGGCTTGGTGAGCGCCCACGGGCGACGGGGAGGGTAAAGGAGGGTCAGTTATGGGAAAGGCTCGGACGTAGTTAATGCAAGCTACGACGCAGGAGGAGCAAGATGGATGCAGCTGTTGAAGGGGAAAAGTAGGTCGAATTGGATGCGGATGGCTGCGATGGGCGCAGGTGTGATGGGAGGGAAAAGGCGAAGGCACGACGTCTGAGTGGCCCGTCGGCCTTGGCGCTAGTGATCGACCTTGACTTTTTGGTCCCCTGCGACTTGCACTGGTGGCTTCTGCGTGCTCTGTCTTCCCTGTCAACCGCCTCTGAGCTCGTCTTGTCTCGTTCGTACTTACCAGGGTCCTTTCTTTGCTTTCCACAATTCTACTGGTGGTGTTCCCGTCCGACAGAACGCTGCCTCAACCACACTGGTGCACAAAAAAAAGAGGCCCAGATCCCAGATCCCGCCATGCCAGCAGCTTGGAATTTGCCTGGGCCTAACATCCAGAACTGGGGATTCTCCTCCTCTCCTTTTCGGTTCCTACCTACGTGTTCCCCACGGAAAAGTACTGTACCGCATGTATGCAAAGCTAACGAGCTACGGGGTCCTTTGTTCCTCCGCCGACACGAACTCTCTGTAGCGTGCCCAGGCAGCCCCATCAACGTGCCAGTGGAGGATCATAGAAAAGAAGCTTGCCGTGTCACGCCCTCAAACACAACAGCTACAAGGGCAAGGTCTTTTGAAGCTGGTCTCGAATGTCACTGAATGCAGCCCATGCGGAGTGGCTTTAGCTTCTCCTCGTCCTGTGGGTCAACGGCACGATCATGGCCCAAAGCCCGGATTTCATACCTCTGTCAAAAGACGCAAGGAGAAGTTACCAATCTGAGACCCCGGACAATCTTCCCTCGTCGTAATCCCACGAAACGAACCATCGTGGGGCTCGGCAGCAAGGAGGAGATACAATTTACTTGACGCTTGCATAGTTGTTTTGTGGTGTGGCATTGCCAAATAGCACACTTGGAGCAAACAAGTTCTTTCAGCATTCCGCCCTTCTCCTTCATGTTTGCAGAGTGTCATACCCTGGTGACCATCCGAAGGAATTCATATTCAGTGAACCAGGGTTTGCTGACTTACTCCTCGTACGTACGATAAGATGTTTGTTCTAGTGGCGCTGTGACCAGCTTTCCAGCTCCACTCTTACTGCCGCGTTCGCCGATTATCGTGATCAAGAGTCAGGGCTCCAGTGTCAATAGAGTATAAGACTCCATCCACTTGGGGATTACGACATTACGGAGCAGCTGAGCTTTGACACATTTCACCGACGCCGCAGTAGAAGCCTCTTCAATAGCGGCTGAAGTGGAGGACCGGAAGCACCTTCGCACATGCACCTCGCAAAGCCTAAGCTGCATTTTTCAGGTGAGGAGCCTGCAAGCCACGGCTGGGCGGCAACAAAGATCAGTGGTCGAGGTCAGCCATGCCCAGCCAAATCGGCGCGAAGCAGAAGCGCGGAAATACGGGTGCACAGGCCTCGCAGGCCTGGCGGCGCTTGGGCGATCCACCGGGACTCAAGTTCCGCGACAACCGTGAACAACCATCTTTCAACCTCGCCCAGGGGCCGTGAAAAGACATCGGTGCCAGGGACCTTATCTTTTGGCCTTCTCCGCACAAGCAGACCTGGTTTCTTGGAGCAATTCTCGAGCACGCCTCCCACCCAACACCTGGTTATACCTCGCTCACTCACATAGCGCGCGGGTGGGGGGCTGGGCATGAACAGAGCACACCCGTTTCTAGTTCTCGAGTACCTGCAGCAAATGGCCTTCCAAGCAGCCCACCACTGGCGTGATGTAGCCGACCTGTGAGTCGACAGGCAACGTGCGAATGCAACCTCGTACCCTGGCATGCCCGCGACGATCTTCCAGGCTGCGGTTTCGCTGACTCGACGCATTGATGATACCTTGATCGGGTCAATCGAGGCAACATCATGGCACACAGCTTTACTTCAGCGTGTGCTGTCGATCAGGCCAATCGTCTGTCAACCACGCCCAATCAAGGCAATTGCGCAATACCTACGCTACCTAAGCAAAGCTAAAACAGCCTATTCAATCTGACAGGCTAAATGGTGCCCTAGATGTAAGATTCCCTCTGTACTAAATTCGGAAATAGACAAGTCTGACCTAGATTTTCTTACCTTTGGCAGATCCACTTGGCTAGAATTATTTGAACGTCAAACTACGTTGCCCTGATCACCATCGTCTGACGGAACTATTCAGCAAGGTATTCTATCCTGAATGTGCTTTACTCGACATCGGTACAAGCTTGTCCGCCACTTCCTTTATGCGAATTATTCTACCACTTCGAGCATGTCATCGGTCTCGTGCGTGGCGAGGCTCGACCCTTTCGACCTGGAGGTAAATATCGCCCCCCAGGGACCCGGCCGAGCGACCGAGGATCTAGGTGTTACGTTGAATTGGGTCGGATGAGTATTTGGTGGTGCTGTTGGCGTGTGGGTGATCTGAAAATTGATGATGATACGCACCAACAGACCATATAAAATTCGATTCGAGATGGCCCACGCAGGACACATTCTACAACAAACTGGTTAGCCGAAGGTGGACATTGGAACAGATGGATCAAAGGCGTACCTTGCCCCTGCTCCATAGCCGAGATGAGGAGTGTTGCCCTTGTCATTGATCAAATTCTCCCGTGTCAGCCAACGCTTAGGGTTGAACTCCCCTGCATCTTCGCCGTACCATTCTTTATCTGAACACGGACACGAGTTAGTGGCCGACGCTGTGAAATAGCGGCGAGAAAACCGACGCTCTGAAATAGTCGGGCTTACCATGATTCGCCCCTTCGAGGTTCATAAAGATGAGGATACCCTTGGGCAGCACGGTACCACGGAAGGGCAGATCTTTGGCTGTCATTCTACCGGCTCCTTGTGGCACCACGACATATTGGCGCATCATCTCCTTGTACAGGGCGACCACGTATTCGACTTTCTCTTCGCGAAACGCCGCGTCCCACGCCGCCTTGGCTGAGCCATACTCGGCAAAGATGGCATCGTATGCCTCCTTCTGGATCTTCTGTCCCTCGGCTGTTGCAAGAGCACCAAGTCCACACGAAAGAGTGGCTGCGATGGTCTCGCTGCCGCCTTGCATCATGCCTTCGCAAACACTTTGAACATCCTCTGTGTGTGAGAAAGAGAGCAATGTGTCAGCGGGTAAGCAGGACTGAGAAACCCCGACAAGAGGATGCGAAAGGGCAGGGCGAGAGCAAAACCGTCGTACCTTTGGTCAATTGGGACTTCTCGTCCAAGATGACATCTGCTCCAATACAGTGGACGTCTTGACCTTGTTCAATATCCTGGACCATGGCATCGTATAATTTGTCAAGATAGTATTTTCGCTTCTCCTTTGCCTGGATGGCTCGAGTGACATGGACACTGGGAAAAAGACGACGAAGCGGGACCCAATCCGTCCACTGGTGAGTCGACCACCGGATTCTGTTGAATGATATATTTAGCCATGTTCTTGGATTGTGGACAAAGGTTTCACTCACGATGTGACTTGCTGTGATGCGTCGAAGAAACCTCGAAAGAACGAACTTCCGCCCATGTCGGTCACACTTTTCCCGTATGCAATTAGCCAGCTGAGATTGTTGGCGACTCCGGCCATGTAAGGCAACGGATTCAGGGGTTTCTGTCCTCGCTCGCCGTCTTTGAGGATGGCGAGAATCATCTCTTCGCTCGCCCTTTCCACAGCGGGAATATACTTGATCCAATTGCTCTTGGACATTGCCTTGACTGCAGCATTTCTCTGGCGCTTGCACGCGTCTGTCCAAGCCATGGATGCAAAGTCCAGCCCTGATCTTGATGTTAACGGCTTTG